TATTAAATCTCATTACTTTTCTAAGCTGATATATGGCCATTTTTGACATTTTTAAATTATTTTAACAATGACTGTTACCAGTCTAAAAAGGTGTTTAGTTTAATAGAATAGTGCAATGGATGAAAATTTACCCATAAATAATTACATATTTTGTAAAGTTCCTATGATTATAAATTGATATTTCACATATGTGACAGTTTTCTAGATATTATAATGCTTTTCTGTTATAGTCTGACGAATTTATAGTGTCTCCCTAGAACTTATGGTTTACTTTCTAGAGTTTAGGATCAAAATTAGAGAATAATTATAATAATTTGTATAAATTCAGATCCCATACTTAATGGTATTGAAATCCATACTCATTTGAAAACAGAAGGACCTTTTAAATTTCAGATGTTAAATTTAACCACAAACCAAGTTAAAAGATAGCAGGATATCTCTTAACAGCATGCCAGCGTTCATTACAGTATATTATAACTCTAAATTTTTTTAATAAGCAATCAAATGCCAACTTGAGGTAAAGTAATACATTTCACTTCGTTCCATAAATATCGATTATGAAATGCATTAAAATTTTCTTAAAATAGGAATACAAGTAAATCAGTTGAAAATTTTCAATTGAAATGCATGGAAGAGAAGCTAAGAATATTTCTTTTTTTTTTCAACAGTGTATAGGTGTTACATGTCCAAATTATTATGCTTGAAATAATTTACTAAAAATTTGTTTCTTTTGTCACTAGCAATTTCATCATGAAAACCTGGTCAATCTGATTGAAGTTTTTAGACAGAAAAAGAAAATTCATTTGGTATTTGAATTTATTGACCACACAGTATTAGATGAGTTACAGCATTATTGTCATGGACTAGAGAGTAAACGACTTAGAAAATATCTCTTCCAGATCCTTCGAGCAATTGAGTATCTTCACAATAATAATGTAAGTGCTTCATAGTAAACCAAATTGTAGGATGAATATAAATTGTAAGTGCCCTTTAAATGTTGTTTTATTTTTAGGAGCATTGCTAAAATTCTTTTTCTATGTGATATTAATAGACATCCTGAAAATGGGAGGTGGGAAGCACTACCATACAATTCAGTTGTAGAAATAAAAAACATTTATTGAGCACACAATATTGTGATTATAGGGCAGAATGAGTATGGAATGCTAAAGGCGGTATCAATGATTATGTTTAGAGGGTCAGGTGTGGTGGCTCAAACCTGTAATCCTGGCACTTGGGGAGGCCAAGGTGAAAGGATTGCTTGAGGCCAAGAATTTGAGACCAGCCTGGGCAATGTTGCAAGACCCCATCTCTACAAAAAATAAAAAAAGTTAGCAGGTGTGGTGGCACACATCTGTAGTCCCATCTAGTAAGGAGGCTGAAGCAGGAGGATCACTTGAGCCCAGGAGTTTGAGGTTGCAGTGAGCTAAGATGATGCCACTGTACTCTAGCCTGGGCAACAGATTGAGACTCTGTCTCAAAAAAATAATACCAATAATTATATTTAAAGGAATCAACAGTCAACTGGAGTAACTTTTATTAGAGAAAGTATATTTAAACATTGAAAATCAGAGCTGTGGCTTAATGGAGACTTGCTCAAATGAAGGAATGTTTGGAGTTAGGAACTGGAAATTAGGCCAGGGGAATAGCAAGTCAATGGAGGTGCCTTTAGGGAAAGAAAAGAGAAATAAAGTGGCTGAGAGGTGTAGTGCTTTGTCATTTAACTTATGAAAAATCAAGAAAAAAGAAAAGATAAACTATTCTGATTTTTAATGTTGATGTTAGCATTGCTTCGTAAGTGTTTAGCTCAGCAGGTTTTTATGGAGCTTTTTTTGTTCTCAACATGGCTCTACTTTCTGGAAAATTAGATACATATTCAGGAAATAAAAGCAAAAGCCTCAAAAATAGTTTTATTAACTAGGTGATATAGGCACAACAACTGTATATACCAGGCTTTTTCAGATCAATTATCTTGCTAATAGTGCATCTCATTTTGTGCTTTGAAAAATATGGGTGTGACAGGAACTGGAATTCAGATTGTAATTTCCTTGCTATCTGGGTCTATGGGAGGCAGTATGATGTGACAGTTAGGAGCATACAGTCTTCGGAATCGGACTATCCTGGATTTTACCACCAAGTTATCTGTGAAAAAACATGCAGCTTGTGCAGTGTATAACTTGTACAAAGAAAGGTGGCAGCCCTGTGACTCTGTGGCTTTAGGCAAGTTATCTAACCTCTCTGAACCTCGTTTTCCTCATCTGTAAAATGATACTGTAGTACCTCACGGATTTATTTAAAGATCAAATTAAATAGTAGCTGTATAGCATTTATACTGTATCAGGCATATTTTGAGTAATAAATAGTGCTGGTAGGGAGTCTGCAATAGTTGTGTTATCTTTATGTCTGTTTAGAGCTTTGTCTATTATAAACTCTAAAAATGTTTCTTGAATAAAGGGACACCTCAGTAATGGGCTAAACTGAGAGTAGAAGACTTCAAAGATGAGGTGAAACTAAACAGAATTTTTAACTGTCGCTAGAATTTCATGAGAATATAGAGAAAATACCTTCAGGTGGTGTACCGCTGTGAAAACAGAAGTAGACCTGAGCAGGGGACTTCAGAGAGTGGTGACAAGTTAGTTTACAGAGACCAGGTAGAGGGAGATGAGATTGCTCAGGTGCCCTAGAGAGGGGTTTTCCAGATCCTTGAAATTCG